AAAAAAAAAAAGACAAATCATTTAAAAATTAAGACATTAGAAAAAAATAAATAAAAATTAAGACACTAGAAATCATATACTGCAGCTTTCCTGTTATTTTTTCTTTTTAAAAAATGTATGTAGGGCTGGTGAGATGGCTCAGTCGTCTAAAGCACCTACTTAGAACAAGCTAAGCTTAGCAAAGCACAGGGACCACGGTTCAATCCCCCAGCACCACATGCCAGCCAGCCCCCCCTCCCTGGTGGGCTGAGCTGGCCACACACACACACACACACACACGCACAATAAATTAATTAAAAAAATGTATTTAGTGCTGGGGATTTGGCTCAGCGGTAGAATGCTTGCCTAGCAAGCTGGAAGCCCTGGGTTCGGTCCTTGGCACCAAAAACAAAAAAATAAAAAACCTCCCTAAAAAATGTATTTAGTAATGTATTTAGTACAGGGTCTACATGGTCTAGATCCTATTCGTAGTCATCCTCCTGTTTTCAGGCTCCTAAGCACTGAGATTACAGGGGCAAAGGCGCCACTACATCCAGTCTCAGTTGCTGTCTCAATGTGCCCCAGGGGTAGGGCCTGCATGGCAGGCTATGGATCGAACCTCTGTCACTCTGTCTGCCTAAGCAGGTGCCTTAATTGCTGAGCTACCTGGTAGGCCCCTTTTAGTGTCATTTGCTGAAAAATTAAAGAAAAAAAAAATTTTTTTTTTTTTAAAACAATGAATTTAGTACAGGGTCTACAGGGTGTACGGGGTCTCACTATGTAGATTGGACTCGTAGTTATTCTCCTGTTTTCAACTTCCCAAGTACTGGGATTACAGGCGTGCACCACCACACCCAGTTTCAGTCACCATCTCAGTGTGCCCTGGAGAGGAGCCAGCAGATTGAATCCTGGGTGTTGCACACTGCCAAAGTAGGTGCTTTAGTCCACTGAGCTATCTGGCCCTGAAAAATTTTAAAACTAGCTCCTTTTTCACACAAAGGCCTCTACCCAATGAACCACAGTAAGTCCAATCACAGAACGGAAGACTGGGGGGAATCAAAATTTGCAAAATTTATTTATTCATTCATTCATTCATTTATTTATTTATTTATTTTTTTGCTGTATTTTAGGGAAGGGTCTACAGGGTGTTCAGGATCTCACTACTAGATCAGGACTCATAGTGATCTGCCTGTTTACAGCCTCCCAAGAGCTGCGATTACAGGAGTACACCACCACACCCAGTCTCAATTACAATCTCAGTGTGCCCTAGGGGCAGGGCTGGCAAGGAGGTTAAGGTTTCAAAACTGAATTATAATCTATAATTTTTTTTCCAATTCAATAAAACATTTTAAAGATGGTAACTGCTCTTTCCGGCTGGAACCATGGAGGTTGCAGAAGAGAAGAAAAAGAAGGTTCCTGCTGTGCCAGAAACCCTTATGAAAAAGCGAAAACATTTCGCAGAGCTAAAGATAAAGCGCCTGAGAAAGAAGTTTGCCCAGAAGACGCTTCGCAAGGCGAGGAGG